CCCATCAAAAATCGCTAAATCTATACTTGTACGTCTTTCTGTTGATTTAAAACTACATCAATCATAAAAACACTACGCACTGAATACAAAATTGTTCACGCGGGGCCCCATTAAGTGCATTTAAGTGCTATCTGGTCGTGTGCGATAAGGAAATTATTCCTCTCGTGACGGGAGCGTGTACGTTTCTGTACGCCAATTGTGTCTAATAATTGTCCTTTTTAGTTATTTAAAGACGCAATTTCGTCGCAATCAGAATAATCTGTGCAGATGCAGTTAAGTTAAAGTTCGTGCAATCTTTAATGCGGTTTATCCGTTTACGGCAGAAAGTTACGTTAATTTTGGAAAAGCAGTTTTAGTGCCTAATAAAATCGTTTTAGAACGTCATCTTATCAATAAAAGTTTAAAGTGTTTCACATCTGAAGAGCCATAAGAAAGAAAAACCTCGTGTTCGGAAACAAGACTTTCAATCCGGCTCACATTACATAGCACTAGTCCCTGAACTCGTAGAAATGATTGGCGGCGTCTCTTTTCGTTCTCAAGTTAGACGAGGAACAGACGGACAAAACCATCACATAAGGGGATTTTTTTTCTTTCGAAAAATTCCCCTAAAAATATAGTTTAGGGTTGTATAAGAAAAACCGAACACCCTGTATAAAAACTGTGTATCGCGACGGATTCTACATAAAAAAGTGCTCTAAAAAGACTTAAAATAAGAAAATTATGGAGTTAACATTAAAGAAATCGACTAAATTCGAGAAACGGTCTCTAGCGGCCAAACGATTGGAGATAGTGGAACTCCGTTTGCGCCAGTGATTTTCTCTTTAATATTGAGCTCCAGACAAGGTCCATTTTTAGGGGAATTTTTCGGAAGAAAAAAAGTTTTGTCCGTCTGTCTGTCCATTTGTTGTATTCCCATATGTTTTTACGTCCTTCGTTTTTTGTCTGATTTTTGAAATTAAAAATATTGGGATCGAAAAAAAATTTCCAAACAACCAAGAAATTGTCATCTTGAACAATCCTGCCGTCTTTTGTTCGCCATGGAAATCTAGATGTCTGCAGTAAAAGTATTTTAATGTATAAAAAGCAATATTGGAAATTAATTACAAATAATTAATTATAATTTAATATAAATACCTATAACATGTGATACATCAAAATTTAGGAAATTTTAGTCTTTCCAAAAACTCCAAAATAGTTTAGGGTCGTATATGAAAAAGGAAGCACCCTGTATAAAAACTGTGAATCGCGATGGATTCTACATAAAAAAGCGCCATAAAAAAGATTTTGCCAAAGTCAATTACCTTTAATAATAACAATGTTATGGCGCATTAAAGAAGTCGACTAAGTTCGTGAAACACCCTCTATCGGCCAAACGAGTAGAGGTCGCTGAATTTTGTGTGGGCCAGTGATTTTCTCTTTAAAATTGAACTCCTGGCTCCATTTTTTATATCTTTTAAAATAAAGGGTGTTTCCATAAGATACTGTTCAATTTGGACCACCCTGTACGTTCCCAATTCAATTTTTGACATATACGCTTTGAATGTCCTTTTATGCCAAGGACCTACTGTAAACATTTATCAAAAAATCGCATCTATGTGCGAGGTAATTTTTCACGTGCGCCTTGAATTTGCTTTTATTTGACATTAATATTTAAAAAAATCACTTTAAGGAAAATTGCGTATGTGCATGCATTTTTTGATAGTTTCCTTTATTTTTTATCGTTTTCCGGAAGATCATTGTTTCTCCGTAATCTAGGTACAACTTCCCCTATTTAAATGTTTATTATGTGGCACGGTTACCGAGATGTGTCAACCCTGCCTTGCGCGATTTTGTTCATATTTCTTGTATTTGTGAAGGGATATGGATGGTTAACAATCCCCAGCTTTATTTTATGATCAGGAACATACTATGAGTGCTCATGTCATTTCTCTTATTTGCATGTCAATGATCAAAGATATTAGCAGGCCCGATTAAATTCTGTTGAACATTATAATTGGGGGTCACGGTCTAATATACCCTTGTATAAAATTTATGTCGTTCGTTGGTCTAATTGTTGTTTATAGCCGCATTTTAATTTCTTTATTTCGTTTATTTAATTGTAAAGAATAAGAAAATAAGAAATTTGCGTAATATTTGTTTATCTCATGCTTTTCTCCATTCTTAGATAAGAATTACGTTATTGCTAAAAATTAATTAATTTTTTAACAGGTGTTTGTGGCAGGTGCGCGTCTAGATAAGAATTTTTTTATTTTAACTAAAGAATGAGGGCCATGGAATCGAAGATGGGACAAGAGAGGGAAATGGTTTATGTAGAAGAAGTGGTTTTTACGAAGCTTTTTCGCCGTGGGCCTTTTCGGTGGAGGTTTTCTGCCGGTTACGTGAAGTCGGAGCCGCCAGCGCACCTGTTTTTTTTGCGGTGAATTATGGAGTCGGGTTATTTGTGGGGCTGCGTTGGCAGGTTACCGGATTTAGGATGTACGTGTACTAAATGCGAGACGTTGAAGCACGGCGTTTTCTCCCACGCTGTGCAAAACAATCATCCCATCAATCATCACACCGACGAACAGAGCTTTATAAGGCGAAGTGCTTGCGTTAGAATTCAATCACGTCGAGCTGTTCCATAGTGATGAACAACGACGAATCCGAGCCGTCTTATAGTGAGCATCAATTATCGCTACGCAAACTCCCCGTAGCGCGGCAATACGCCAACATCTCGGACCTGGTGCAACGCGAATCATGTACATATTCGCCTGTACCAAAAAAATGCAGACCGTTTCCGTCAACACCTCCAAGAGACCTGGTACTACGATTTTTACTCGCCGGTAGCCCATGGCCATATATGCAGGCAGCCGTGGACACCTCCACAAGACCTGGTGCTACACGAATCCTGTAGTTATTCGTCTGCAAACGTTCTCGTCATCGCTCCATAACGAACTTCGGCATGAATGGATCGACCCTCAACGATATTAAATTTAATGTTAAACGACCAAGACTGGTTTTTGGAATATTGACAGTATCAAGGTAATTAATACTTTTTTAAACCAGTTTTGATCGAGCGCTTCCATGCGTGGTATCCATTTGTCGCTGGCATCTTCGGCAGCACTTTCAGCAATTATCGAATAAATTGGTGTTGTCTTTAAATGAACAGGTTTGATTAGTTTGAGCCCAAATTACGATCCTGGATTTTAATAATTTTCATGCTAATTGATTTTATTTCTTTTGAGCTAGCTGGACAGGTGGTTTGTGGGTGACGTAGTTACCACATTCCATTGCACACAGTTTGTGAGTAGTAGAGTGGTTTTTACAACCCGCACGTTGGTAAGGGAGGTATTGCATTGGGGTAATCCCCCCCCCTCTCTTTTTACCGAAATACACGTTTTGAGGCACCAGGAATCCGAATCAAACAAAATCTCAATTATGTCTATTTGTTTGTCTGTCAATCTATCTGATGCCGGTCGGTTCTTCTGTACTCTCATTTCCGGCTAAACGGCAGAACCGATTGGAACCAAATTTGGTACACATACTTAAACTTCAAAGGAAGAGCTGAAGAGCTTTTAGGAAGAACATGCGGAGGTGTATGGGTAACAAATTTATTATGTTTATGTTCAAATTAAAAAAAAGCTTACAACAAGAAGTTTTATCTGCACGAGAATTGTGTACTATTTTTTCACGTTTTGACTGCACCCCGATTAGTAAATTGTAAAATGCCTACAAATAATATCGTTTTGTCGGCTTTCTTTTGTAAAATGCCCAGGAAGCCTATAAAATAGTCCACATTTTCATTATGCCTAAGACATATGCACTAAATTAAATTATAAATCCTTCATTGGATGTTTATTTAGTTTGTCTTGTTATTTAAGGTCAAATCGTTGGTCATTTTATAGGACACGTAGGAAAATCAAAGAAAAAGTTCAAATTCAAATGTCTATTTTTATGTAAGCTTGTTGGATGCAGTAAAAGCGCCTTTATAAAGATGCTTAGACAGCTATTTTATTTTTATATAATGCTGGATGCTAATTTCTGATAATCACTCAAAAGCACTCAAACTTGTCTCAGTCCAATATACGTATGCAGAACTTGCTTCATCACTTTTCGAGTCGACTTTTATATTCGTCAATTCTTTTGAACTAGGTACTCAGTCTATGCGTATAATAAAAACGATCACCAATTAGAGTATTAAGTACATTTTGTTAGAGTAATAGAGAGAAACGTGAAAAAGTAAAAATCTGACAAAATGGAGTACTTTTGGTTACATATGTCAAGAATTCATACCCATAAGTGAGTGTACAATATTTGCATCTTAAATTACACGTTATGAACAACGAGGACATAGCTATGTCACATCCACACTATCGTAGTAAAATAAGTAACATGTCTATACCGTGACTCATACATAGCATTAACACAAAAAGATGGTATAAATTAAGACACCCAGTGTGGCGGTATAATACACGAAAATTGAATTACCTACGACAAAATGTAAGAATGTCGCAAGCTAATCGGTCGATAAGTAGGAATGACGTGTTTTTTTTTAAATCCTCCCTCTGGGTATATTTACTCATGATTATAACGTTTTGTCTTAACTGTCATTATTTCGGAAATTGAACTCATTTCACCGTAAATACATTCGAATTGAAAAGCAGCTCGGAAGTTATTCTTGCAAACTTTATTATTTCTAAACATTTTGGGTAAAAATAAAGAGTAAATACATACAGCCGAAATTAAAGAAAAATAAAAAGTGAGTGAATACATTTTCGAGGAGACTTCAGCTCCAAATAAGATTGAAATTTTACGTACTGGTTTCAGTGGCAGTAAATCCTCGTTGTTAGTATTCAAATGTTTTCAATTGTATTCTCTAATAAAACGAAGATGAAAGCTTTTCAATTTACTGTACGCTGCTCACTGAGTAGGTACCTCAGGATATTGCATACAATAAAAAAAACAACACGTAATAAAATGAATCTTAAGGAGGGCGCATTTCTCATTGCGGACTGGTTTTCGGCTGTAATTTGTGCACGACTTGAAAAATTTGAAAGACCTACCTCGCAAAAAATGCCGCCGCTGCCGAAGTTTGTGCCGGATTTCCAGCAACTCCATTGACGGCGAACGCGTATCTTGTTTCGGAATACATCCCATACACCCCACTTTCATGTCCCACAATACCACCCCCAACGTAATCCACTCTGCTTTGATAACCGACAACCCCTTTCACTTTTTGAACCTCTACCGGCAACGCTCTTTGTGTATTACTTCTACTGTAAGACTGATGAGCGTGTGATTGTTTACCCCTTGATTGATTCGCAAAAGTTTTTGATGGGTAACCGCGAATATTATTGGCATTCGCATGATGCCTTTCGGTGGATTCCATGTGTGACTTTGTGTAAAAGGACTTTAATATTCTCGATTCTGAGTTAATGTTTTTGGTGTGATGTGCATCCGTTGTCGCACGTGAGTTCTTAGAATCCACCTTATCGCGCTTCGCGTGTTCGACGGACTGTGTTACTGTTAGGGTAGGTACTGCTGCAACGAGCCGTGGTTTCGCACGTCCATTCACTGTAGACTCCCACTCTCGATCGTGAGATCTTCCACAGCCCTGCTTTTGCAAAGACAGATTGTGGTTGTAGTAGTAACCATTCATATTTCTCACTTCGGGAGGTACGTATTCCTTTGATGTTATCGCAGACATATCAACCTGCAAACAAAAGAAATATTGGTAATTATTGCCTAATTATGAAACCGGTAGGTACACATTAAATTGTTAGGTGGCGTGGCGTACTATTCTCAGATTGGAACCTCTGCATCTAAGCTCTATAATTATGTAATGAACCTTCAATCAATTTCCGTAACAGTTTACTCAAGTCTCTCTACTCGACTCGTATACGTTTGTTGATCTTTATTGAATAGAGCATCTCAATTCCCAATATTGAGCTTGTTCTTTTTACTTTCCGTTAATACAAGCGAGATGATATACTTCATTCTTCAATACCTACTACTCACTTTAAGAATAAATTACGTATTGCTGGGTTTTATTGTTTGTTTAGTACTCTATAAGATTAGGGCTTTCATTTAAACACAAAGAAACTCAAACAGGTACCCTCCGGAAAAGTCGGGGGTTAATTTTCATTTCTTGCATTTTCCTTTTTGGGGTGGTCAGATTTGATAACAAACTTCGTGACCGAGTTCGTGACGAAATAAGAAAAAGTACAAGAAAATGCAAAAATCGCAATTTTTACTGATTCAGTATGGACAACCCGGAAATTATGCACCCATTTTTTCTGTCTCAAATAATAATAATAACGGTATTTACATCTCTATATCGGATTACACTGCACAAATGCCAATTTGTCCTTGACGCAATCTGTTCTTTTGTATTAGCGACTAGGACCGAAAATAAAGAAAATCGCCATAATACTCGTCACATTTTTTTTGTAGCGAAGGCTCATTTTTTGTAGTCAAAAGACCAAAAATTGAAATTGAAAAAAATAATTTACTTAAAAACATGGTTTTTGTACGTTATTCTGCTTTTCCTCTGTTTACAAAAAAAGTTTTTTTAACCAAAAACCGAAAATTGTAAAAAAAAGTTAATCAAAAACCTCAGAGGGTTGTTGTCAACACAACCCACTTGAGCCCAAAGGCTGGAAAACGATACACGACACGAATTTTATGTGGACCATTCTCTAACAACTCGTTTTTGAGATATTCAGAATTGACGCTTAGATTCCTCTGTAACCGGCTGGTTACTTTTCAACTCTTCCTACTTTTGCTTCCTCAAGCTACTTTATTTCGGGATGGTTCTTCTTGCATAAAACAATTGTTGTTGGGCTCCGGCTAGCATTCAGTTGATGGTCTATTTCTGGCCTCGAGGAAAAGGGAAAGGATAAATGAATAAAAATCTTTTCTTTCTAACACTTTTATAGAGTCTCCGAATTGTTAGTACTATCAAAAAAGTAATATAGGCGGCTCGGGCTCTTTTTGGATCAAATTAATGGTAAAATCAAAATTTTAAAACATTCGCTCGCTTAAGAGACCGGGGGAGAAAATCAAAAAATTGTCAATTGACCGATAAAAAAGTTGGAGACCTGACCTGACACACTTTAATCCAAAAAGTTATATTAAATTCTGTTCCCAAAAATATAACACTAAAAAATTCAATATTGATTAAAAAATGTAAAGAAAAATTGAAGTAAATTTTAAAAAATTCAACAATCTTTTGAAATTTGTGTGTATCTTTTTGAATCATTTGACCCTTTTTAATACTATCCCTGGTGTGTTATATTTTTAAAAAGATAATTAATATCCTATTTTTTAGATTAAAATACATTTCCTGTTCCATTTACGAAAATGAAGTTAAGTTCGATAACTTTTTCACCTGGTCCCATATACTTATTTTGAAAACGGTAGATTATCGAACAATTATCAAGAACCTTCTGTAATAAACATTTTATTTGTTTATCTCTTTTAATAAGAAAATATACGGTCATTCTGAAATTTCCATGCCCCATAACACTCTTCTTATTAGAAACAATTGATTTTGGCAAAATCTTGAGCACTTTTTTATGCAGAATCATACATACAGGGTTTTTGGTTTTTCTTATACAACCCTGAACGATGTTTTTTCATATGGACCACCCTACATATTTTGGAGTTTTTGAGAGCGTAAAATTTTGATGTATGAAAGGTCGTGGGTAGAACAAAAATACAGTTGTTGGTAGGTCCTATACTACAACTACAAACTGCGAGGGTTGTGCCTGTTTATTTTTCAATACTTTCTTAAAAGTGGTTCTATTTTTTATTTTGATCTCATTTCATTTTGGATACCGACTCTTTTCCTCTTGCTGGGTCCTCCGGAAATCGGTCTCATTCAAAAGCCTTGCTTGGTTGAATTACTATAATCTACTAAACCACAGTCAGGCATTTTAAACCTTCCGTTGTCGTAGTAGTAATTTTTTCACACAGAACTATACAATACATTACAAAACTAATAAATAAACATTTCGAACAAATTGCTCCACAAATAAGGAAGTTGTCTATTGCGCATGCGTAGTTTTGGAGGGAAATTATAATTATAACTGGTTAGATATCTATGACAATTCAATGCGATTGTTCAATGACATTTGTCAAACTTCCGCCAGTGAAATGTCGCGAAATTTTTTCGTATTAACCGGAACATTCTTCTTAGTTTGTGAATCAATTTCGACAACCGACTTATCACCCCATCTTTTACTTTGATCACTCATAACGAATTAGCTTGGAGCACAAAAGTTCGAATAGAATCAATAGCAAAATGAAAAGCAACTTCCGTAATTTATTTTGACGATTAATGTTGTCATGGAAATAATGTCAAGGCTTCGGGATTGTTACGTATAAATATACATTCGCGTGGGTAATTATGTACTATATGGTCTAAGGTAATTATGCTTAATTTTTCTTTTGATTCATTGAATAGTCCTTCGAATACCATTCGTAGTCGAAGTATTTGTAGATTATTTTTGAGCTGCTGCTCCACTCATGCTAGTTACGCTTTTTAATACCACTCGCGCAAGCGCTCGTGGTATTAATCAGCGTAACTATTCGTGACAGCACCTCAAAAATATTCGACAATACTTCGACTACTTATGGTATTATATATGACAATTCAACTCATGTATAAAAAATCGCATAAGCCGCAGTGTAATTGTCACCTTGACAGCGGCAAAAGTTACCTGCAACTTTTCCAGCGACAAATGCACTAGTGGTTTTTCATCTTCGAACCAATTATCGCATTATCCTTTCCCATATGACTGGTTTGACGCCTGTCAATAATTCATTAGTTTGGTGAATTTCTTGTTCGTTAAATTGTCCTGCCGAATTACACTCGAGGTTTGTAGTTAAACCGAGTAAACTTGGGTTGTTGCAATTCAAATCTGTTTCCTTTTAGCAATTGAACTCGAAAAACTGTCAACCTAAAAATACTCCACCTACGGTGTCGCATTTTTATTAGTTGACAGTTTTTCTCGCATTCAACAACAGGCAACAGATTTTCATTACCTAAACAACCCAAATTTACTCGGTAAAATACAAACCTCTTGTGCAAGTGATAAAAAATCTCCATACTTGGATGGGTCAACGTTAAATTGGAAATTTCATTTCTTGCAACACACGCTAATTTTTTCTGGATGTTGGGCGATTAGGCCCATGCATCACCCCACCACAACTCGCTTCTAAATAGAGTTGCAATTCCAATTTAACAACTCCCATCATTCTTAATTTTTACGAACATAAAGTGGTAGTAATTAGTAAATGCACAGAACAGCATAAAACGAGCAAAATTAACCATGTAAAATTGGACACAATCAGAAATTACTATGACTGACTGTCTGACTCCCTTATTGAGATGAATTTCATTGAAAACCGTTCGCATGTCTGTTTCCAATCTGTACAAGAAGAGGATTTCAATTTTTTGGCTGTGCACAATGCATAATGATCAGGTGACTTTAACTTTAGACACTTGGATAGTTAAAAGCGGAAGAAACATTCAAAAGTATAGAAATTATAAAATCTTTAGAAAATATGGGAATTGCTTAAACTTTGACTACTTGGAAACTTTAGAAACTAGAATGTTATGAAACTTGAGAAACTATAGACAGTTTAGAAACTTCAACAAAACTAGAAACCCGACAACGTTAGTTTCGTTAACCTTATCGACACGAGTTCCTCGTCGATTTCGATATCTAGTCATCTCATCAGTAGTTGTTGTCCACTCCGCATTCTAATTTGTGTACCCAATTGTTATTCTGCATTAAATCTGAGTAGACAAGAAAAAATTCTAATCAGGAATGGAAGACGAACCCCATACATCAAAATTATACACCGTACTTTTGACACATGTTCCTAGACAACATGGCAGAAACGCATCCCTTTATCAATAATTATGTCTAAACATTTTAGTTACAAGAACAGAAATCAGAGTGGAACCTTAGACCATACCAAAATTTGAAATTGTGGGTGGGACCAATCAAATAAAAACTGACAAAATGTCTACAATAGCTACTTCTGGATTTACCCTATAAATGATACGGAGTTAATAAAATGACATGTGAAGATATATTCTCAACATAAAATGCGATTTTCGATAGACTGAAATAAACAAAAAGAAAACGAGTAGGTACTTCTGAAATTGCGCTTAAATAAGTAATGGGCTTCTGAAAGCGGCATCTTATACGATGATAAAAATAATACGTTTTACTTTGATCTATCAGTAAAAATACCGTATGGAACATAATATTGTTTGATTTTGAAAACATAGTCTTCCTTTGTAAGCGCGAATCTTACTTGGCTTCGTAAACTTACAAGAATACAAATTATTTCCCCCGAAAGCACTAAAGCTCTGACCTTATTTCCAACATACGGTTTGCAATAATTCCAATTCCCAATAGAGTATCAAATTATTATGTATGGGTACATTAATTATGAATGTTTAGGTTAACACTTAATAAGCGGGTAACAGTTCACACGTACATCATTTCACACGCAAACAAAAGATCAGGTAGCAAAGAATACACAAAGAACCATTAATAATACGTTTTATTAATAATATTTGTTGCATACATAGTAGCGTGGAGATTATTATTATCTATACAATGGGTTTTACAGTGTTCGCTTTCGAATAAGCTGTTAATTAAACAGAATAAACAACCCGTCAAGTACGTCCAT